AAAGCCAGGAATAAAACCTGGAGCGTTTCACTCTCAAGGGTTTTCCCGGTGGAATGAAAATGTTCCATATAAAAGCTTTTAAATGTTTCGTAATTCAATTCAAAACTTAGTAACATATTCTTTTTTTTCTGCGTGTGTTACTTTTTAAGGTAAAACCTATGCCCGTTAAAAAGGGCTAGCTAAAATCAGATAGATTCTTTAAACTTTGGTTTTCAACAAATTTCCGCTTCTCGTAAGATTGGCGCATACCGCGATATCCTTGATACATGCGATGTACTGAAATGTCTGAAATAGTAATCCTGGCTTCCTAACAAAACATTCACTTCAAACTATAATTCACCTGGAGTAAATGCTACACTGCTGAATCTTCCAACTGTTCAAGAGCGAATAAACTCATAAGCAATTTTTGTTGTCTCAGTGCTTTTACATAGACCCTGAAATCTGCTATGAGGAATATCGAATTATTTGGCTTGGAAAAGTACTCCTTATCTATAAAGCCCTCCATAAAAACAAACTTTCAGGTTTTTTGAACGGTTTAATATAACTCAAATGTACACTTCATACTGTTGCTTAGAGTATATTAAACGTACATACAGAATGATCCAAAATTCAATATGATCCTGGATTTGTTGCAAATAACATCTGGTTCGCCTGCCACAATTTTTCCTACAGCAAAGAAGCCAGGAAAAAAATCTGGAGCGTTTCACTCTCAAGGGTCTTCCCGGTGGAATGAAAATTTTCCATGTAAAAGCTTTTAAATGTTTTGTAATTCAATTGAGGCAGAAAACGGCATCTAAACAATAACCGGGGGTTTATGTGCTGCAAAGCATCAACGTTGCCCTGTTAAAATTAATACTCGATCCAGCACACACGCTGGGAAATTGTAAAAAAGAGTGTAATAGTCCAGTATTTCAGAAATATTGTCCACGACAAGTGAATGGCAAGGGTAACGTGGCATATGGAATGCGTAAGGGTGGAAAAGTAAATATAATACAAAAATATATTTTCACGAGCCAGCTTTTATTTAGCGGTTCTTTAAATGAACTTAAAATATAAAAATGTTTTTATCCAATTGGAAATATTTAAACGATAATTTAGCTCCTCCATCTCAAGTTTCCAAATAAAAGCATGTTACGCCATTTTTTATCAAAAACGTAAATCGCTTTTAGTTGAAAGCTTGAGATGAAGGAGCTTCATTACCGTTCAAATATTTCCAATCGGAATCAGAAACGGCATCTTTTGGCGGTCGCCATACTAGATTTATAATGGCTTCACTTTGCTCATCGCGTTTCTCTCATCAATCCCTTTTGTATGATATTCATATCATAGGAGCGATGGTGAAAAATGTAAATGTCTATTTTGATTCGGCCGCCATATTGGATTTATAATGACAGTCATCCTATCAGCATGGAAACCACGGGACAAGTTTCGGGTGTACACTATTTTTTCATGTTTCCCAAAAGCGGTTAGGAATCTTTAGACGCGGTTTGTTTGTGTAAATTAAGGAGCCGCGATGGCAGCTCGGATTTTTGAAATACCTTTTGCCCTCCTATAAGTTGACCCGCCATAACATTTTTGGATGACTTTTCAGAAAAAGGTATACTATTTTTTTGTATAAGGACCTGTACCAAATAAGGCCACATTAACGTTTGGATAGCTGTAACTGCGTAAATATTTGCGAAACGACCTTGAAATTTTAAAGGTATTATTGTAGATATGTTTATTACACAAGCTACATCGGAGAACTCAGAGACCTTTTCTTTTCATATAAAAAAAATATATTTTTCGAAACACTACCGTTGGCCTTATTAGGAACCCATGTATCCAAATAAGGCCACCATTTGGTTTTCAATAAAACCACAATCAAAATGTAAATCAAGACTGTATAATAAACGAAGCTATATTTCTAATTAAACAAAATTAAAAAAAAACACTTAAATCTAGACAGATTTAAATAAAAAAAGTCAACTTGTTTAAAGAAGATCATACAGAATCTTAGATTTTGCCTTCGCAATGATGACAAACAAATGATACTTTATCACCTCTACGCAAGCCTACACATTCCTCATGGACATATCTTAAGCATACTACACACAGACGCATGTTACGTACTTCATCCTTATCGCATATGAAACAGTACCAGTTTTCGTCTTTATTCTTTCGGGACCTTTTGCTTTTAACGGTTCCAGACCCATTAGATTTTTTTATTGTTTTATCTAAGCCGGATGGACCTGGATTTGGGTCTTTAAACAAATCTCTTACGACGATTTGCGCAGTAGAATTGATGGCTTTTCGTCTTTTTGTGGCGTTGGTCTTCCATTCGGGTGTGGGAAGTACTTCCCTGAAACTTAGATCCAATTGATCACTGTCTATTTGACCAGTCACAAGATTTGTTGTTTCAAGAACTGCAAACTTTTGAGTCGAGTTTATTTCTTTTTCATTAGAAGTAGCTGTTATCTGTAACATTGAAGTTCCATTGGCCATCAGTAGTGCAAGGGTTATGTCATCAGATTCTGTAAAGCTGACATCATGGTTTTCCTCATTCTCCTCCTGAACATCTGTAGCTGCCGTATTTGAATCGGGCCTCTCTGACATTAAACTAGGTGTTAATGCAGTCTCCAGGATCGCAGCTGGGTCGTGTGGGTATATTCCTGTTGCGCGAAATCCTGACTGAAGATTTTCAGAAGACATGGCCCTTGGATACACCTGCCTCAAAATTTCTCCAAATCTTGCACGATTCAACTTCCTGCCAGGATACCACTTGTAATGGTTAAGTATTTCATTTTCCCAATGATATTCGAAACTGCGGAAAACACATTTATCCAGCGGTTGCAGCACGTGTGGCGTGTTACTCGGAAGACACAATAAAGTGATGTGATGTTTTTCGGCGGCGTCAACAATAGTTACATCCAAATGAGAAGAGGCCCCATCAAAAATGAGAAGAATATCTGCTGGTGGCTTATAATTTGCTAGATGGTCTAGCCATTTAACAAACACTGCTGCCGTCATACTTCCTTTTTGGGTCATTTCAATTACTGTTCCGGTTGGCATATTGTCACCCCATTCATCCTTTTTACGTTTTCCCTTGAACAGGACCATTGGTGGTATTGCCTGTCCAATAGCATTTCCACATGCAACTATTGTGGAATTTTCTGCGTGCTCATTAGCTACATAGTGAACACGTCTTTCACCTTTCCTCGCCAACACATTTGGTTGGCGGTGGATGGTGAGTCTGCACCCCTTCTCATCTACATTGTAGATTCGATGGGGCTGATTGATTAGGTTTAGTCTAATCAGCAAACTTTCTAGTTTTTTGAAGTAGTCGTTTACAATGTACTTATTTACTTTCTGTGCCCTAGCTGGATCTAAAACCTGTGCTTTCCTTTGGCGAATATTTTCATGTCTGTCCAAAAACAACTTCAACCATTTTCTACCTGCCATTCCACTATTTTCATTAAATGTGTGACGAATTTTTTTGTTATTAACATAGGAAAAGACGGATTTTCGCAAAATCTTTGGTGTAAGGGGCATTCCTGTATCCGATAATCGGATTATCCTTGAGCATAGTTCATCTTCCTGCTCTCTAGACAAAATTGTACGAGTACCAAGTTTTCTTTCTCGCACACCTGTACGAACATGATTGCGAAGTGTTCTTCGTGGAATTTGGTATTCTTTGGATGCACGATTTACCCACGTTCCACTGTTTATACTATCCAGTGCTTGTACAAGCGCTTCGGTTGATCACAGCGCCCTTTTCTTAGAGGGCATATTTCGACTATAGTCTCTGAAAAAAAAACATCTTAATTTAAGACATCTGCCGTAATGGCCAGCGTGTTCCTAATAAGGCCAAGTGGCGGTAATGGGAACCGTTTATCATGGCCTTATTAGGCACATATAACCTTAAACATACAATTTATAAAATACAAAATATTTAAAACCTGGCGACGACAAATAACTAGCTGTATATGTTCTATAGACTTACCTGATTGAACTGACAACAGATTTCGCAAAAAGAAGCAGACAACATGAAAAATCGAAGACAAATTTAAAGTAGTAATTTTGTAAGGCACGTGTTGAAAATCGACACTGGCCAACTGCGCCTTCTAGCGCCGCTCCACACCTGCTACATTTATGGGTGCTAACTCATCTCAATGAATGTATAGAACTGTAGAAATCTTTGATTCTAGATGTAACTAGTGTCTGTAAAATCGACGCATGACCTTATAAGGAGCTTGGCCTTATTTGGTACAGGTACCTTATATGGTGTCTTAGAAAATTGCTATTGAATAGAGTTATATTTTTCAAATAGAACACCCGGTATACTTATAGCGAAAATTATGGTCTCATTTTTTATAACTCCAGATATACATAAATATATAGTTTGCATTACTTATTTTTATATTTTAGTCAAAAACTTATTCGTGTGTCATTTATCCAAGCGCATCCGAGTTTAAACCATCTTGCAACTAACCGGTTTTACAATCATTTTTGACTAAAGTAATGAAAATAAGTATGACTAACCACATATAGATTCAGTATGCAGCGGATATATTTCTAAGAATTTGGGGGTTGAAAAGTAACTCGAAAAATTCATAAAAACATATGCCCCTTACAAACATATATGATGTTAATGTTATAATTACATACAGGGTCTGTATGGTATCATGTATATTTAAATATACAAATATCAAACAATTTGTCCTTTGCGTCTTATGACCCGCAAGTCGAAGCTACACAGTGTATATCTGAATATACACGTGTGATCGATCGTTTTCGGTAGATTTCGTTGGTAAATCACCCACTTCGGGTAGTTATTTCAGTCTGTACGGAAAGTGTCGTGCTGTTTGGACGCCGCCGGTAAACACGTGATATCAAATAACATTATTAGTGTGTTTTGTTGGCAGAATTGAGCGTACATTTTTTTTGAATACTTATTGAGGTATGTTTACTACAAAGGCATGTTAGAAATAATATATATTTTATATTATTGTACTTTTCAGGCCACTGACGTCACTGTATATTTGAATGTACATTGTTCCATTCTGGTTTCGACTTTACAGAAATTATGGATCCAAAAATATTTTATGGAAAAAAGGAACATGTTACAGTATTAGTACCGGACTTGGATAGTGAGGAGGATTTCGATAGTGATGATAGCTTATTAGACGAAACATATAAACCCACTTTGCTAGATTATGATGGTAGGTAAAATACTATGGAAATAATAAGTTGTGTTGCTATTTTTTTTTTTTTAGAAGAGGATTTATTGGAGAGCAGTAGTGGAGAGGAAAGTAATGCTGACAACCAAGGAAACAACAATGAGGAAAGGAATAATCTAGGTAGCTGGAATGAAGATGACGAGATCCCTCTCAGACAACTTCGAGATAAGATTCTCCGTGTGTCTGCTGTTTCTGTTCAAGGTGGGGTCAAAAACATGAAAATCAAGAAGGCTCCCTTGAAATGGCAAAGCTCTAATAAGGAGCCCAGTGATTTGCCAACTTGGAAAGCTCAACTACCCTCTCAGACATCTGTAGAGACACCATTGCATTATTTTTACAAATTAGTCGATAAGGAGTTGTTGGAATACATAGTAGAACAAACGAACCTATATGCGGCACAGAAGGACATAGGTCTAAATTTCTGCATGGATTCCAAAGAGCTAGAGCAATTTATTGGCGTTTGTTTCTATATGTCACTGATTACAGTGCCTGGGACCAGAAGATACTGGAGCAGTGCCTGCAGAGTGTCTCAAGTGGCAGACGTAATGCCTCTTCGGAGGTGGGAACAAATAAAAAAGTTTCTGCATTTTGCAGATAATTCTACATTGCCAGTTGAACCACCAGATCGTCTTTTCAAAATCAGGAAGCTCGTGGAGAGTATAAGGAAAAATTTGAGACTAATTCCCATGGAACAGCACCTTTCTGTCGATGAGCAGATAATACCGTTCAAAGGCCGTAGCTCCCTGAAACAGTACAATCCGAAAAAACCAAAAAAATGGGGTTACAAAATATTTTGTTTGGCAGGTGCTAGTGGTATTGTCTACGACTTTGAATTTTACTGTGGGGCCACGAATCAACCGGAAAATCTACCGGATATAAGTGCTAGTAGCAATATAGTGATTCGACTGGCTGAAAACATTCCAAAACACCAGAATTTTCTGCTGTTCTTTGATAACTGGTTTTGTAGCCCCGAGCTTCAAATCGAATTAGCTCGGAATGGTATTTACAGTGTGGGAACTATACGGGAGAATCGAGTGCCATCCAGTGGTTTGCCAACCGACAAATCACTGAAAAAACAGGGCAGGGGGAGCTTCGAGGAAAGAATTACAAGCTGTGGAAGCACTAAACTAAAGATAGTGAAATGGCAGGACAATAAAGTGGTGACTTTGCTAAGTACATTCATAGGCGGCTATCCTGTGACTACTATAAAAAGATTTGACCGCAAAAACCGACAAGATGTAAACATCCAATGTCCCAGTATTATACTCATATACAATAAATTCATGGGGGGTGTCGATTTGATAGACTCTCTTCTGGCATTGTACAGAACGAAAATAAGATCAAGAAAATATTACTTGCGTATTTTCTTTCATTTGATGGATATGTGTGTAGTTACCTCTTGGCTTTTATATAGGCGCGCTTCCGACGACTGTGGCATATCTAAAAAACACCAAATGTCGCTTTATGATTTCAAAAGTGATTTAGCACAAAGTTTATGTTGGGTGGGAAAACAAAACAAAAGAGGTCGCCCTTCATCAAGTTCTCAGTTACCACCCGTAAAGAAACAAAAGATATCTAGTGTTCGACCAAATATAGATTGTAGAACAGATGGAATGTCTCACTGGCCCACATATGAACAAAAAACTGGAAGATGTAAGAATGGACGTTGCCAAAAGATTACCAAAGTAATGTGTACCAAATGCAAGTGTTATTTATGTTTTGTGCCGGATAGAAACTGCTTTACTCATTTTCATACATGAAATTATTTTGAAAATGTATTTGTTACTTCATTTGTGGTTATTCAAGCTTTTGTAGCTCTTTTAGTTTCAGTTTTTTATTGACGGAATGGTGTAATGTATATTTCAATATACATATGTTTAGTTCAAAAATAGTTTGTTTTGAAGATAAAATATCCAAATAAAGTTTATTCTTATGCTCATAAACAAATCATATTTCGACCAAAACAATTTTTTTAACCAGTCCAACTAGGTGTGTACAATAGAGGGCTAAGTTATAATTTTGAAATAGAAAAAAAATACACCATGGGAGTAGATTAGGATATTAACTAAATTTTTGTACATGTAGTATCGATTATTTAGTCAGTACATTAAAAAATCTTTGAGTGTGCGATTATATCAGTGGCGTAGTAATTGGAAAGTTTTGACTCCTATAAAAGAAAAAAATATTTCCTACTCCTCTGACCTTTTTAAACCATCTATTACATTTTACATGAATTTCCTTTCTTCAGAAATGTTTGTCCGACAAAATGGTATTGAATATCCGAGGTAAAATTCAAATAAAGGACTTGTAACACTGCAACTTTGAAAATACGCTGAAGTTAGTGAAGTTTCAGATTGAAACAGTATTCATGTTTTGTTCTTATTCACTCTCAACAGTGGCGCAGCAATTTACAACACCCTGCAGCTTGACCAGTTCAACTTTGAAAATACGTTGTGAAATATTATAATACACAATTCTACTTGAAAAGCCCTTATTATTTTTGAAAAATAAAAAAATAAAACAAATTCATTTCTATTTGGGATTTTCAAATGTTAGTCTCTAGTTCGGATTTTCTTTAACTCGCCATAACCTGCTTCAACCTTCCTATAATTAATATTCGGTTTTCATGAATTTTAGCCTGTATCTACTAGACTACAAAGTCGTTCTTGTTTCTCTGGAAAAGTGGAAAGCTGGCGCACTGCTGAAAAGCGCTCTTGCTGCATTATTCTGGTCGATGTGAAAGCAAACATTCACATGCGGCGTCGATTAAAAGAATGTTCTGCGGTTTGCTTTCAATACACGTAAAATTGTTTGTGTCCTAATTCCTTACTGCAAATTTTTCGAAAGGAAGATAAATGCTGTAGAGCTGCAAGAGCTGCAAATGAGATTGTCCACGGAAGTATTGTGAGTAAAGAGGCTAGGATCTTTACTGATTTTCTTTATTAGTTAGTGTTATAAACACACATTTCGCGATTGTGTTTTGAATTATTAGAATCTGTAGCATAACAATACAACTGTTGTGCCTTGATAAACGGCCAGGGCTGAACTATACTTTAGCGCATAAAATGAAAGATTAGGGTGTAACTTGTAGGAAAATATCATTTTTTCTCTAAGGAACCCCCTGTTGGCTAGTTTATAGAATTTCAAAGTTTTATTTTGGCTGGTAATAGTGTGATATAGAATACTGCTTTATAAGCTGTTTTTATTGTTTAGACAAAATATTGCTCAAAATTATATGAACATAACATACACTGAATATTACTGTGACACTGGTAATCGCAAAATGCAATTTTGCATTATTTTAATGATGAAAATAGATCATTGTTAATTAGTCATTTATTTTATTTCAGATAAATATTCCCATCACTACACCACCATCACTATCATGATTTTTCTATCTAGTTGCAATGTTGCCAAATCATGGATAGTTATTTACCTTGATTTGGTTTGTTAAATTCTTACTTATACAACTAGCACAAAAATGTGCAATCGGCACAGGATTGCGATGACAGTACGGTATGGAGGTGTGGCCGGCAGCTTTTACTGTACGAAATTCACTTCGTGCCTTACAATAGCGTTAGCTATATAAAAACTTTTTGTATCTATGGGCCTGTTTTGATTTTATATTTATTTACTCATATTGTTTGTTATCTTTGTACATTGAGTGAATAAATATTATTATTATTATTATTATTACTTGAAAATTTATTTTAAGTGAATCTGATGCCACAAAATATACATAATTTAATGTGATATATACAAGGAATTACCGAAAAAGTAACTGTCGCCAGTCACTTAATAATGAAAACATAACAAAGTAGAACATTGCAAGTTTTTTGATGATTTGATGGAATGGTCGTATATCTCTATTTAACTATACTGTTGGACGATTAAATATTGGGTGGACCTGGCGACGTGGTCCAAATCGACTGATCGAAGTTGCGTATTTTTATATGAAGTGACCGCTGGTGCCTCTCGTATTTTTTGTCACCCAAGCCGCTGGTGCATTTTTCATTGTTTAGACACATACTGTTCAAAATTTCATCTCGTTTTCAGTAAATATTGGGACAAATTCTTATAACACAATCCATTTAAAATCATTTAAAATAAATTAATACTTTTATTTTGCAAATAACCTCTTTTTTATTACGCATTTCTCGTAAAAAAGCACAACTTGGCAACAGTGGACATCATTTATCTTATCTGTCAAGAAATGAACGTTATAAAATCGCAATTGAGAATTTGTTTGTACTTTCAAATATTTCTTATAAACGCAAAAACCTTGACCTCATTGAAAATACGCGAAAAATTAGTTAAGGAATTTCAGGAAGACACTGAAAAATAATAACACAACACCTCTACACAGTTTACCAAGTAAATACTATCATTTACGTATGCATTTTGAACTGTTATTTCAGCTAATAAGCTAGTGTGCAATAACACGGCTAGTTTCGAACCTTTGTTTTTGAAAAACAACGATTTTTTACAGTTTCACATCTATTTTCCTTGGTACTATACAGTGTATGTTATATTCTTATAATTTATAGCATACTTTTGTGCAAAAAGCAAAATAAGAGTATAAAACAGTATTCTATTCTAGAGTATCATCACCAAAAATGCAAGTTTGAAGTTCTATAAAATAGCAAGCAGAGAGTTCCTTAGAGAAAAAATTATATTTTCGTAAAAGTTACATCCTAATATTTCATTTTAAAATGAGACATGAAGTATTTGCGATATGCGCTAAAGTATAGTCTTACCACAGCCAGTCACAACCTTAAGGTAATATCAC